GAACACAGGCACAGAGACCAGTATCAACAGCCTGCTTAGGATTTCTGGGTAATAAAAACAAAGCCAGACTGGGAAGAATGGAAAGAGTGCCTAAGCCTTCGATTGTCCAATGTGGTCATTGGTCAGTGAACACCAGGATCTTACAGAGAACCACAGCCTCACCAGACAGACAAAAATAAAGCTTCTGAAACCAATCAAAAAGTGATAGCCATGGGTGATCTCTCCAGCAGAGAATTCAAAACTGCTGTTTTCAGGAAACTCAACAATTTTCAAAAACCACAAGGAAGCAAAAAATCCTGAACAAAAGACACTGCAGAACATGAAGAGGACGCTCTACCTTGATCAAACAGAATGCATCCAGGGATGCAAGGATGGTTCAGCGTAGAGAAATCAATGAACATGATGTACCACACCAACAGAGTGAAGGAGGAAGACCTTGATGCAGAAAGGTTTTCAATGAAATTCCAACTCCTCTTAAGGATGAAAATTCTCAACAAGTTAGCTAAAGAAGAGGCATACCTCAACATGCTAAGTGCCATAATATAATAGGCCCAAAGCTAACAGCGTCCATAATGGAGAAAAGTTGAAAATTTTCTCTGAAAGATCAGAAACAAGACAAGGAATGCAACTTCCATAACTTTTATTCAGTACTGTGCTAGAAGTCCTAGCCATTGAAATCAGGCACGAAAAAGAAATACAAGACATTTAAATTTAAATTGGAAAGTACAAACTCAAAATACCTCCATATGATGTGATCTTATATGTAGAAAACCCCAAAAAAGCATAAAAATCTTTCAGAACTAATAAATACATTTAGCAATGCTGCAGAATACAAAAGAAACATACAAATATCCGTAGCTTTCTATACAGCAATAGAGCATTCTCTAAAATATAAGTCAAGAAAGAAACCCCATTTATCCTAGACACAAAAATTCTAGAATAAATTCAACCAAATAGATGAAAGATCACCACACTAAGAATTATAAAAGTTAAAGAGGACATAAAACATTGAAAAGATATCCTATGTTTCTGTTCTGGAAGAATGATGTTGGTAAAATGTCAGTGCTACCCAAAGCAATCTTCAGATTCAAGGCCAAACTTATCAAAATACCAAGGAAATATTGGGCAGAACTAGAAAAAGAAATAGTAACATTCACAGGAAAACACAAAACCTTGGAGTTACCAAAGCAATCTTGAGCAAAGAACAAAGCAGCAGGCATTATCCTACCTGACTTCAACATATTCTGCAAAGTTAGAGTAATCAACACAACATGGAGCTGACATGAAACAGATAAACACATCACTGACCAGCCCACACCGCTCTCTGTCACCACCAGCCACTCCGCCAGCTTCTACCCATAGCTGCAGGGCATGCCCCGTTGCTGACTCCTCAAATCTGCTTAGTGTGCACCTGACAGAAACATTTGTAACTTTGAAGGACAAGTCTGACCAGCTCTGAAGACAAGGGTCTGGTCAGCGTTAGTCCACAGCATGGTCCAAAAGCTGCTCAGCAAGACACCCAAGCAGAACACCAAGTGCACTCGTCGCTAGCAGACTCAATAGACCAAAAAACACCAATGGAAGCTCATCAGGTTGGAGCGCATGACCCCGCACAGTAACATGAATCCACACAAAAGGGCAAAGGGGAACACCTGCAATTGTGAAGGATGTACAAATGCATATTTCCTCTACTTTATTCCCTTAACAAAAGAAGTTCTAAGGGGCTGGCACTGTGGCATAGCAGGAAAAGTCACCGCCTGCAGTGCTGGCATCCCATATGGGCACTGGTTTGAGTCCCTGCTGCTCCACTTCCATCCAGCTCGCTGCTAATGTGCCTGGGAAAGCAGAGGAAGATGGCCCAAGTACTTGGGCCTCTGCCATCCATATAGGAGACCCAGAAGAAGCTCCTGGCTCCTGGCTTTGGCCTGGCCACCTTGTCCATTGCAACCATTTGGGGAGTGAAGCGGCAGATGGGAGACCTCTCTCTCTCTCTCTCTCTCTCTCTCTCTCTCTCTCTCTGTAACTGACTTTCAAATAAATAGACAAATCTTTAAAAAATAAAAGAAGTTCTAAAAAACCGTGCACCTAGAATAGTGTACTGGGTCCTCTAACAGAGAAGTATAGTGAACCTGAAAATGACAGCACAGGCACAAAGGAGGAGGAGCCAGAATGGTGGATAAGGAGAGAATGCAAGGAAACCAGGATGGATACATCTATTTTGGCCCCAAAACAAATTTGTAATTTGCTTTTAGTTTTCTCAAAATACATATTTTTCCATAAATTTTTGGAAGGCCCTTTGTGTACATGGATTTTACAACTTCTCACCAAAATCAACTTGTCTTTTATTCCATGTCCATGGATTTTTCTGACTCGTCCTGTAGGAAGCATCCATGGGGAGTGACTAAAAATGTTCCAAAGCTGACTCTGGTAAAGGTTGCACAAACCTCTGAAGACACTTAAGTCTGCTGAATTGTGAAGGACAAATGACTGAATTGCTTGCCATGTGGTCATATCCCAACAAAGCTGCTTTCTTAGGAAAAAAATTCACTTAAGGCTGGCCCTGTGGTGTAATAGGTTAAGCCTCTGTCCTCGGAACCAGCATCCCATATAAGCACTAGTTCAAGTCCCAGCTGC